CTGCTTTTAGTTATGAATTTTTATATTCAGACCATCCTATGTGGTTAATTTCGGTTTGTAAGTTTGTAGGGCCTGCCATGCTGGCCTCCCCTGAGCTTGTCAGATTTAGTATGTGGCCCCTTTTTCTCCACATAAGTAAATGTCACTCAAGGTAAGGATAAGAATCAGAGGCTTTGAATCCTACAAGGGAAAATTCATAGCAATGCAGGCCTATACCTAAAGATACAGAAAAAAAGCCCTCAAATCAACAGTCTATCTTTACATCTAATGAAACTGGAAAAAGAACAACAGACAAAGCCCAAAGTGAGTAAAAGGAAGGAAATAATAAAGATCGGATCAAAAAAAATGAAAGAGTCTAAAAATACAAAAAGATCAATGAAACCAAAAGCTGGTTTTTTGAAAACATGAACAAAATTGACAAACCTTTAACCAGACTCATCAAGAAAAAAGAGAGAGGATGCAAATACATAAAATCAGAAATAAAAATGGAGAAGTGACAACAGACACCACAGAAATGCAAAAAAAATTTAAGAAAATAGTATGAGCAACTATATGCCAACAAATTGAACAATCTGGAAGAAATGGATAAATTCCTAGAAGCGTACTATCTTCCAAAGCTGAATCAAGAAGAAACAGAAAATCTGAACTAATTGATTACTACCAATGAAATTAAATCGTAATCAACAAGCTGCCAAAAAAACAATTTTGCAGGACCAGATGGCTTGACAGGTAAATTTTACCAAACACAAAAAAAGAATTAACACCTATTATTCTCAAACTATTCCAAAAACTTCAAGAGGAGGGAAGGCTCCCCAGCTCATTTTATGAGGCCACCATTACCCTGATTCCAAAACCAGAAAAAGGCATTACAAAAAAAGAAACTATAAGCTGGAGTCCCTAATAAATATGGACGCAAAAATCCTCAACAAAATATTAGCAAACTGAATTCAACAATACATTAAAAAGATCATATACCACAATCAGGTGGGCTTCATTCCTGGTATACAATGTTGGTTCAATATCTGCAAATCAATTAATGTGATACACCACATAAATAAAATGGAAAACAAAAATCATACGATCGTATCATTAGATGCAGAAAGAGCATTTGACAAAACCTAGCATCCATTTATGATAAAAACTCTCAGCAAAGT